GATCTCCCAGGGTTATTTCTGACTCACAGGACAGGAAACATTTCGGGGTTTAAGCCGAGCTGAATAATGTGCTCATTTCCTTGTGCCGACTACAAAGCACCTGCTCCAGGGGATTTATGGAGTGCCGGCCTCTCGCACTCGCTGCGCGGCTGCCCGCCCGGATGTTTTTATTTTCCCGGGATGGCCAGAAAGTGCCAAGGCCTGTTTTCCTAAACACCCTGAGCCCTCCCGGCACGTTTCCCTCGAGGGGAGCCCAGGCAGAGCCACGGGCAGCAGCACACCTAGGGTGCTGGGCTACCTGGGGGTCCCAAGGTGCTGGGGTGCCAGGGTGGGTGCCAGCACCCTCCCAGGGCTGAGAGCAGCGGGGATGCATGGCTAACCCACTGGTGCCAAAACCTGGCCTGGCACAGAGCAGCCACAGCTGGGTTAAATGGCCGGGGAGAGTGCCAAAGGATGACGGAGGGGGATGGAGCATGGGGGCAAGCAAGGGAGGATGAGACAATGCGAGAGAGGGCAAGAGGGCAAGGGAGCCCGAGGGAGCCATGGCGTGGGGCTGCCCAGACCGTGGAGCCCTGCCTGCCACCAGCTATGGGGAGGAGGCACCCAGCCTGGGGTGGGCAGAGCCCGTCCCATGGCTGGGGACCCACAGACGCATCCCCCAGTAGAGCCCATCCCATGGCTGGGGACCCACAGATGCCATCCGACAGCAGACCCTATCCCACAGCTTGGCACCCATGGACACCACCCCATAACAGACCCCATCTCACGGCTGGGGACCCACAGAGACCATCCGACCCGGGCTTGTAGAGCCCCTGCAAAACACTGCGCCCAACCTGCGTGGTGGAAACAGCTCTCTCCTGTGAGGAGGATTGGGGTGTGAGCGCTGAGGCTGGGGACGCCCATGGGACAGACAGGGCATGCCAGCACGCCTCCCAGCCCATGCTCCTCCAGCAGCATGGAGCTCCACCCAGCGGGCAGGTAGCCTGCAGAGTAAGGTGACATCAAGTTTTTCATCATGTTCCTTCCACTTTGTCCCCTTTTTGAAGCAACAGCCTCATTGGTGGGGTTGGCTCTGATCCCACCCGTAGTTCCAGCCTCCGGGAGCTATCCCGTCTGGCTTACGAGCTGCAGAAGGAAAGATGGAGTGAGCCGGCTGCCATTCCCTGGGTAACCCTTTGCCGTCCCCCTTCCTGGTCCTGGTTGCCCAGCTCTTCCTGGGGTCCAGCTGCTCCGGTGAGCATTGAGTGTCCAGGTGAGCGGACATGGCTCAGAGCTGGCATCTGCCTGCACCCTGCCCCGCTGCCCTGGGGACTCTGTGGCTTGAAGCATCTTCAAGGCGCTGGGCGAGGAGAGATGCCCACATCCCACAGCCGCCCCGGGGCCCAAGGCAGCACCAGGATCCTGTTGGGGCAGCTCAGCCCAGCGATAAGTTGGGGTTGGTTTTTTTTGGTTTTTTTTTTTCTGTTTAGAGAGAAAATAAAGTGCTTGTGGGGAGCAGAAGCCAAGCTCCCCAGTGCCTAAAACAGCAATCGCAGCACTTCCTTGGATTTATGGTGTTTGCTTTCACAATGCCAGCCGGGATCCTGTTTGCTTCCTGCTCTGCAGCTGCAGTCCCAGCTGAAGGCTCAGGAGATTCAGGTTTTATAACACTCCTGGATTCTGCCGATGGCAACTTGTCCAGCATCGTTTATTACCCCTGTGCCTCCTGCGGGGCTGGGGTGGGCTGTTGTCACCCCATCTCAGCACTCACCAGCTTGGGTGCTTGCCCCTGCCCATTCACAGGGTCCCATCCTCCAACACTGGGGGCTTGAACAGCAGCTCTGCAGAGGGAGCACCCAACCTTTGCTGTGAGAGGGAGGCCAGCAATGCTGTGCCCTCTGTGGGGTGCAGCACCCAGCTCTTTGCAGGCACAGCTACAATCCAAAGAGCATAACCAGCTAGGAGCAGCTGGGTCCTGCTGGGAGGATGCCTAGACCTTCTGTGGGGTGACCTTCTGTGGGGTCCCGGGATGCTCAAAGGTGGTGACTTGTTCCTCACCGGCTTGCCTGAACATGAGATCAGTCCTTGCTGTTGGCCTCTGCCTGATAAATGAAAGTGAATGAACCTACAGTGAGGCACTGCTTCCAGCCCCTACGTCCCTTCTGTGGCTCTTCCCTGGGTCTTAGATGTGTGAGCAAGATGTGAGCACCAAAACCAGCCGCCCCCTTTCATTCTCCAGGGCAAAACCTCCTCTGGGATGCACCGGCTAGCGCAGCCAGAGAGGGTGTCAACTCCTCCAGCCACCGCATCCCTTGGGTACCC